TCAAGCCACACTGAAATGTTAGCTGGCTAAAGTGGGTGGACCGAGAGCCTCCCGCCCCCCCCCCCCCATCATATAATTCTCTCTAGCCTGGAATTTAACCAGGTAGACTAAGCTGGCCTCAAAGTCACAGAAATCACCTGACTCTGCCTCCCAAGTGCTGGGAGTAAAGGCATGTGCCACCAAGCCCAGAACCCAAGTGCCAATTTTTAATAAGGGCTTCTGCCTCACTGTCTGAGTGAGGTGTGTTTTAAGTATGCTCCTTATTATATAAAAGTTTAAAACCCATGGCTAACTGGGCGGTGGTGGCGCACACCTTTAACCCCAGCACTAGGAAGGCCAGAGGCAGGCGAATCTCAGTGAGTTTAAGGCCAGCCTGGTCTACAAAGTGACCTCCAGGACAGCTAGGGCTGTTACAGAGAAACCTCGTCTCAAAAAACTAAACCAAACCAACAAAGACCAGCCTGGTCTACAGAGCTAGTTCCAGGACAGGCTCTAAAGCCACAGAGAAACCCTGTCTCAAAAAAAAAAAAAAAAAAAAAAAAAAAAAAAAAACCAACTATGGCTTAGGGATAGACTAGGTGTTTCTTAACCTCCAAAGGCTTTTGTGGCTAAGGAATTTCAGGTTATCTGGCTAGGTATGTTTCAGGATGACAGACATGATGGCCCAGGAGTGCTAGTCAAGAAGAAGCATTTACTCTGAAAGTGCCACACTTTCTAGTCCATCACCAGTTCCAAACGAGGCCTCTGCCTCTGTATATGAAGATGGTACCTTCAGGCTGAAGAGATGGCTCAGAGGTTAAGAGCACTGGCTGCTCTTCCAGAGGTCCTAAGTTCAATTCTCAGCAACCACATGGTGGCTTACAGCCATCTATAATGAGATCTGATGCCCTCTTCTGGCCTGCAGGTTTACATGCAGAACACTCATATACATAGAGTATAAATAACATGTTTTGTTAAAAAAAAAAAAAAGATGGTACCTTCTTCTTCAATATAGGTGCAGAGTTTTGGTTCCCTAGAGCTCTGCCTCCTGCCTTCCGGTTCCACAGCATAGAGGCAAGGTTTTGTTATTGTTGTTATTCTCTGTCCTTCTATGGACTCACTTTCTAATAAGGAAAAAAAAAAGCCAGGTATGATAGAAATGAAAAATGAAATTTATGTCCTGGCAGTGCTGAAGCATGCATGGGCAGCCTGTATGTGCTAGTCCTTTTGAACTTGTCCATATTGCGTTTCATGGTCTGAATTGATTAGGACAACTGACCAGGTCTCTCAAGAGGGCACCAGATCTTATTACAGATGGTTGTGAGCCACCATGTGGTTGCTGGGAATTGAACTCAGGACCTTTGGAAGAGCAGCCAGTGCTCTTAACCACTAAGCCATCTCTTCAGGGTGGTGAAACATGCCTGCAATTCTGCCACTCCGGAAGAGGAAGCAGGAGGACTGAGAGAGTACCATCTGGGCTATATATGAAAGTGCTGTCCCAAAGAAACAAAAGCAGAAGGATCTGCAGAACGGTGGTGAGACTTAAGTCAGGATTACAGTTTAGATACATCATATGCTCAGTAAGTTTGTGTGAAATGGCTAAAGAACAAAGGAGGGAATTTGCTGTTAGGCCTTTTTTCTGCCAGGAGCCAAGAACCTGCCTTGTCTTTTTTTTTTTTTTTTTCAAGGCAGGGTTTCTCTGTAGCTTTGGAGCCTGTCCTGGAAATAGCTCTTGTTCCAGGCTGGCATTGAGCTCACAGAGATCCGCCTGCCTCTGCCTCCCTAGTGCTGGGATTAAAGGTGTGCGCCACCACCGCCCAGTCAACCAGTTTTGTCTTACATGTGCCAGCATTTACTCTGCCTGAGTAGCAAGCACTATTTTGGATTAAGAAGAGAAAGCAATGAACAAACTACACAAAAATCCTCACCCTTACAAAAGATACTGTGCTAAGAAGACAGACACAAAAATACAATAAAAAAAAAAAATGGGGGCTGTATTAATGGTGAGAGCAAATAGGGGAAATAAATGACAGAAGGCAGAGACAGAAAGTGTTGGGGGGCTGGAAAAAAGTGAGATTACAGGACAAGAAAGGATTCAAGAGCTGTGTGTAATACAGGAGGCAATTCAACTTTTCAGCCTCAATTTCTCCATTTGCAAAATATTGCAGTGTTTTCCTGAGGAAGGTTCTGATTTTTGTACCTTTTTTTTTTTTTTCCTGACACAGGGTCTTCATGTGACAATCTGGCTGTCTTTGAATTCAATATGCAAACCAGGCTGCCCTTGAACCCACGGAGATCTGCCTGTCTCTGGGAGTGCTGGGATTAAAGGTGCTCACCTCCACATCTGGCCCTTTGTCACTTTTAGGGTGTTGGATTGTTTTGTTTTACATTTATCCATCCATCCATCCGTCCGTCTGTCTATCTGTGCGGAAGGATGGAAGTCAAAGAACAACTTCCGAGGGTTGCTTTTCTCCTTCTACCATATGGGTCCCAGGAATCCTACTCGGGTCTTCAATCTTGGCAACAAGTGCCACATTACCCTTGGCTCTCTCACTGGCCCCTGGGATCTGAATATTGACAGAGTCTAAATCAGGCTATTCTGAACTATTTCTCAACTAGCTCCTTTTGGAATTTTATACCCGGGCATTGTTTACTTATAGCAAGAATGCTCAGTAAGTTTGACCTGAAACGCCCTACTCCAAATATCTCCTTGGGAGCTGAGCTGAGTTCTCTTCCCTACCGTGCAATCCCGTTAGAGCACTGTGATGGGATGCACATCTGGTTCCGCACTTCCCTTGAGTACAGCAGTACAGTTCTCCAGGCTCAGCGCCACCAACATCTTTTTAAAAACTACCCAAGTTTGGGGCTGGAGAGATGGCTCTTATCATCACATATACATCTTTCTTAAAATTACCCAAGTTTCTTATCACCTCATAGCCTCAGTTTCCTTATCTGAAAAAATGAAAATGTTTGCCTAAATTATTTGACAGGGTTTTTGAAACTATCAGATGAGATCATTAAAGATATGTGAAAACAGGCTGTGTCTGGTGGTGAATGCCTGCCTGCACGTGGGGGGGGGCAGAGATAGAATCACCGCAAGTACCAGGCCAACCTAGATCAAAAGATCCTGTCTCAAAAGAGAAAAGAAAAAAAAAACAGTGAAGATATTTAAAAATGTAAATGTCTACTGTGTAAAAGTTGAGATGGAAATCAAAGAAAACACACACAGGCATTTTACAGGCTGCAAATCTCACGCTAAAGGCCAGAGGACTCCTAGGACTTGAGTGAGCCGGCTAGTTAGAATAACTGTAGGGAAAAGCCTATGCAAATTGTCAGCAGCACTCAGTAGACAGCCAGTCTTATCTGTGATCAGGGATAAAACAATCAAACCAAATGTTCCTAAGTGGACACCTCATAAAATATTATATGGCACTTGCTAGATCTTAAAACTTTTAACAACTCTATTCTGCTTGTGTTTGTTTTGTTTTCAGACTTCTGTTCCAGGAAAAGACTAGGCAGACAAAAAGTCATTTAAAAAACAAAACTAAACTAAACTAAACAAACAAAAAAACTAACCACTAAAATCACTGAGGGCAGATAGTTCATCTTCTGCCTATTTTTGCTAATGTTCAAGAGACATCAATTCAAGTCGATAATGGTTACACACATAGGCTACTGCTTATTCTTAGGTGTTGAAGTATCTGTTTTGGGGGGCATGTACTCCAGGCTGGAGTGGAACTCACTGTATAGCCCAAGCTGGCATTAATCTCTAGGTCATCCTCCTTCCTCAGCCTCCCAAACTCTGAGATTATAAGCAAGTTGTACTGAGTGTGGCTCTTTGTATATTTTTCAGCTCTAAATACTTGGCTGTAACATAAAGATGCTAAACCTTTTTTTTTCCACCTGAGACAGAGTTCACTAATGTAGCTTTGGCTGTCCTGGAACTTACTATTGTAGATCAAGCTGGCCTTGAACTCCTGAAGATATGGCTGCCTCTGCCTCCCAAATGCTGGGATTAAAGGGTGTGCACCATTATGCCAGACACTACATATTTTTGAAATTGACAAAGAGTATATAGTAATTATTTTGCTAAGGAACACTTAGTTTGGTTGTTTCATCACTGGTACGGATGCTAGGTCTATTGAGTATCTCAGGATGTAAACCAATAAACACAGTATGCATGCACAGTGTCGTGTCTAGCACACAGCAGACAATGAACGATCCCTATGTGAATCAGCTCACGACGCATGAGCCACTTGGAAGTTACAGAACATGCTTAGGAAACATACAATTTCCGCTCTCGACAATGCTCACCTGGTAAATAATATTTTATGCTCATCTCTGACAGGACAAAAACATACATTTAAATATTTGGTTAGAGTATAGCTTAGCACAGAAGACTACTGTTGTTTCTTAAATAAATAAGAAATACACTGTGAACACTGAAGTTACACCAGGCCGAATACTAGGTTCAGAGGCGTTAATGGGATACCTGTCAATTCGCATGCACCTGTTGACCTCTACACAGTCTTCTCCGAGTTAGAGACCCACAGGCACTAAAAGCCAAATAAAAACTTCGCTTTGTATTTTTCCTCTTCAGTGCTCCACTGTCCCAACTGCTACCAGAGTTGGCTTTTGGGACCTTAGCCCCAGCCTAAGCAGCCGGTGGGCGGGCCCAGAGAAAGGCTTTGTGGCTGTTCCTTATTGGGGCCTGGTTGCTATGGTGTCACCGACTTTAAAACGCGTCTGAACCACTTCCGGGAGGTTAAACTAGAATTACTTCCAGGGCTGCCCGTACTTACTATGGCTCACCCAGCGGTCTTTCGCTTCAACAAATAAACCCTGTACGAAAAAAAAAAATCTCTGAGAACTTTTCTCTAGCTCCTGACGCCCGTGGTTATGACATACTACCGGATTTTTCCCGATTTTAAAAATTATTTGTTACACATTCTAATCTCTACTAGCCAATCTCCAAAATGGCGCCGACGGCCTCGCTGGGTCAGAGGCGAGTCACGTGGGTCCCCCCGGTTCCGGCGCGCTAGAGGCCCCGGGTGGTGAACGAGGCTCCGGCACCATGTCTGGTTTGTGTGGCCCACTCTCCTGGCCTGGCCCTCGCCCCTGTGCGTTGCTCCTTCTGTTCCTGCTCGGCCCCAGCTCGGTGCTCGCCATCTCCTTCCATCTGCCCGTGAACTCTCGCAAGTGTCTCCGCGAGGAGATCCACAAGGACCTGCTCGTGACGGGCGCCTACGAGATCACCGACCAGTCGGGGGGCGCAGGCGGCCTGCGCACCCATCTCAAGGTGCGGCGCGGGGGCGGGCGGCCAGACGGCCGGCGTCGTGCGGGGGAGGCCGAGGTGGTGGGGAGAGTGGCCGGCGGGCGGAGGCCGGGGGTTGGCCTGCTCCCCCACCCCCAACCCCAGCGCTCTGGACGTGCGGTGCGGACCGCCCCTTCACCCCGCGCGTTGGGGTTCGCGGGGCGGGGCTGCGCGCCCAAATCCCGGGCCCGTGGAAGGGCTTGGGAGGCGTTGGCGGCGTGAGAGCCTAGAGAGCTAGGACAATTTCGGCTGTCGTCAAGGTCCTGCCCCTGGGAGGGCTCAGGAATCTTGAGCAATAACGTGATTTCCCCGAGTAATCCTAGAGGATCAGTGGGATTGACATCATAAGACACCACAACACCTACAGGATAATGGAGACAATAAGATTGACTGTGACTAATAAAAAGTGTTATATATTTAAGCATCTGCCGTGTCACTTCCTGTGCCTTTTAAAGGTACGGTTAGTTCAAACACTCCATAAATAAGGAAACTGAGGCTCAGGGAGAATGAACAAGTGTTCCCGATGGAATTGGCCCACTCAGTGAATTGACGAAAAAGTGCCACAATCTTCCTTTTGCTCTTAATTTGTGATTTCTGGGATTTATCAGAGTTCATTATTGGTCACAAGATGGTCGTAGTCTCTAGTGTCTTCACTTAGCTACACCAGGTTCGGCTGGACCATTGAATGGTGACAGCTTCATTACATAATGCCTTTTGGTCCCCGTTTTCAGGGGGGTTTTGCTTGGCCAGATTTTTGAGATGTTAATAGTCAACATCTTGTGTTCTGGGTAATTGTATTCATTCACATTTAACACTGGCAATTTTCTTGCTTCTTTTTAACTGTGTGTGTATGTGTAGCGTGTGGGTGCCTAGGGTCTGTGGAGGGGCATCAGATTTCCTAGAACTGGAGCTATAGATGGTTGTAAACCACCATGTAGGTGCTGGGAACTCAGCCTGGGTCTTCTGAAAGGGCACCAAGTGACCTAAACCTCTGAACCGTCTCTCCAGCCTGAAACAGTTTACTGTTAACAAGCTTCAGATGTAGTGTTTACGGTGTCAGACCACAGTGGTGGTACTGTAACATACTTTGAGAAAACCTCTTCAGGGCTATTGTTTTGTGACCCATGGTATATAATCCTCCTTAAATACTAAACTGTCTAAGTGGTGATGGCACATACATTTTCAAGACGTGGATACAATGTTTGGGCTTCAGGCTCTTCTCAATAGAAGTAATGCCCCGAATCAAAGAATTTGAGCAGCCAAAGAGGCCTTGCTCTGCTGCGTAGCTGTCGCCCCTGGAGTCCTGTGTTTGGAAAGTACTCAGTGGCTTGCTGCTGCCTGTCTGATAATTGACGTTTACCAACACGCTCCTCATGAGAACACCCTTGAAGCTTCCATGCGTGTTCTAACTAGGGCCTCGCTGACCAGAGCTCATTGTCACTACTTCTGTTTACCCTAGTCTCCCTTCTTAGGCCAGTAGTTTCCTAAGCAGGCCTTGTTCCCCTGTTTGTGTTTTCTGGAGTGTTCAGCGTGGTGCTTCGCTTCTGGTAGCACTGAGTGGAAGGAGGAGCTGTGCTGTAACCCTAGAGTAAGGAGCATCTGAGGCTGGACCAGAGGCTGCTGAAGGGACCTCACCGGCAGGAGTTTGTGCCTCTGCTCACGAGGATTTCACCAACACTTAGTTACTCTCACTTTGTCTGCTGTGTCCTTACTACGAGCCAGCTTAACTGGACTACTGGAACCCTAAACTCAACTGGCAAGTAGCTAACACACAGGAACGAATTGAGCCAGGTATCAAGAAAGAAGAAAACTGAGAAGCAGCGATGAATAAAGGAACATAGCTGGCAGTGGTGGAGAAGGGGAATTTGGAGTGACTAGTACTCCCCTCCTTTTTTTTGATGTTAGTCTTCACTGGAAGCCCAGGTTGGCCTAGAACCCTCTCTCCTCCTGTCTCAGCCTTGCAAGTGCAGGAGTTATAGCTGTGTGCCAGTATGCCCAGCAGTACCCAGGCCAGAATGAGTTGCCTTGCAAACATGTGAGCCCCTTGTCTTATCTGGTTTTAAAAATGAAATTTTAAAAAACATACAAATTTTGATGCCAAATTCCTGAGTTTTATCGCCAGTCGCATGTCTGTTGGCAGTGTTTTGTCCTCACTATTAGAGAGACTATAACCGTTACTTCTGCTACCCAGATTCTGCCACTGCTCAGGATCCATGCTGGCTTAATCTTCACTCTTTCCCTTTAGTATTTTATGTTAAATCATTCTGAGCCCAGGAAACGCTAGATATTTCAGTCCAGTCGGCATCAGCTTGAATCTTTAAAAAAAGATAGGAACATGACTACCATGCTTTATGGCCATGTGACACCCTTCCAAAATTAACAATGAGCTAGGTACAGTTGCACGTGTCTGTAGTCCTAGCTAGTCAGGGGGCTGAGGCAGGAGGATTAGTTGAGCCCCAGGAATTTGGAACCAGGCTGAACAACATAGTGAAGACAAGGCCGCAGTGAGATGACCCCTTGAGCCCTTGAGGTCGAGACCTGTACGATTTAATAGATTTAGACCCCCTTCTCAAAACCAAACACATTAAAATCCCATAATGATTCCTTAATGTCATGTAATACCCATCATATACTAAGATTTCCATAAGTAAAGGCTCTTGTCACTATGCCTAAGTTCAACCCCTGGGATGCACGTGGTAGGTGGGGACAGTCAACTCCCAAAAGCTGTCCTCTAACTTCCACCTGTGCACATATGCAAAATGTGCACACACATAATAAATTACAACAACAGTTTAAAAATTTCCCACTTGTTTGAAAAAGACCTATTTAAAGTTAATTTGTTGGGGCCAGAGAGGTGGCTTAGCATTTAAGAACAAGTACTATTCTTGTAGAGGACCTCAGTTTTAGGTTCCCAGCACCCACTCCGACAGCTCCGCCATTATTTCTTACAAAGGAGTAAGGTATAAATATGGAATCAGATTCCATTTTATCTTTTTGATGTGGGTACTTGATAGCTGGTGTGGTGTAGGGATGGTTGATTGTCTCCACCCACCATGAGGACTTGGGAGGCAGAGACAGGTGGATCTTTGTGAGTTTGAGGCCAGCTCGGTCTACAGAGCAAGTTCTAAAGACAGGCTCCAAAGCTACAGAGAAACCCTGTCTCGAAAAACCAAAACCAAACAACCACAAATGCAAAACAAGCTGTTTCAGACACACTTTGTGTTGCAGATTTCCAGTTGTCTACCTTATCACTCTTTCCCACTCATTGCATAAAATGAAGCTAAGCCATCCTTCATCATAGATTAGAAAGACTTCGTTACCCAGATGTGAAGTTGGAAGTGCCCCCTCATCATCCGTAGTTAGTATAGATGTTACTCTATTAACTTGAGGTCCTAATAAAGCCTGTTGTAGGAGCCATGGTCCTGAGTGAAGGGACCATAGATGTGAGCACCATGCTGGACAGTGTGAAGAGATGTTCTATGTAATACAGTTGCCATGGTTTTTAAGAGAATGATTATATTTCTGGTGTCTGTACTGAGAACATTTCTGTATTGTAGAGGAAAATATTTCTGGTGTCTGTACTGAGAACATTTCTGTATTGTAGAGGAAAACAATCAGAAACCTGTTGCTTATTTCTCAAAAGAAGCTTTTCTTCTATCAGTAACTATCGTGTGAATCCTTGCTTGGGCTCACCTTTTTCTTTTAGTGAAAATATGGCCCTGTTAAATTGATACTTAATGATACTGGTATCAGTGGATTAAAACCAGACCAGTAACTAGATGGTTTGCTACAGAAGGCCAGTTGGTACATTAACGTTTGATTGCATTACAGTTGAGTTTCTTCTTGTATTATATACAAATCTTCTAGCTCTTTCTTTAAGCCCTGACCCATTTCCTTCTTCATAAAAGTTAAAGGATGGTGTTTCTTACTCAGTGACCAGTTAAGACTGTTCTAGAAAGGGGGACTGCTTAGATTTTGAAGTCAGTGATAACCTCTGAAGACAATCTAGTTTTTAGGAAGAGGAACAGATTATAAAGTTGACCTTGAGGGGTGCAGTGACCTTGGTTTGCCAGTTGATGGCTGGTGTTTGCTGTTAAGCCTCTGCCTCCATATTCCTATCTGCCCAGCAGCACAGACAGTAGGGCCCTCTGTGAAAGCATCCGGCTGGCCACAGACCAGAATTTGGCCTGCAAACAAGCCTCAGACTTGAGGGAGGCTGATGTCATCTGCTGTATCCTGCGCCCCAACTTCATTGTTCAACATAATGTGTGGGAAATCAAGAGACTACTTGTTAAAAGAGAACAAGGCTTTGTTTGTGCTTAAAAGGGTCATGCTGGAGGTTTTTACCGTAAATAACTCTGGAACAGTATGAAAAAAAACATTTGATCTGGCTTCACCCCCGCAGTGGTGGTGTTGGGACAGCGACTGGCCTTTCATTCTCCCTGCCTCCCTTCCTCTTTTTCCTCTTCTTCCCTGTGTCCACCCCCGGCAGTCAAGCTTGACTGTTGCCTGTGTTAAGTTAATGTAGCAAATGCTGACAGAAGCAGGAAGAGAGCAGCATCTGCCTGTTATCCCACCAGTGCTTGAAGTTTTCCATTTCTGAGTCTCAGTTATACAGAAAGCCCCTTCCCTGATCGTATTTTAGCTTAAACCCCATGGGCGGTGGTGCTGTGTCATCACTGAGTTGGGTGGGACACCTGAAGGATTTAGAGCTGAGTGCTGCTTGCTGTTTCGGTTTGACTTTGTTCTCAGTAGGATCTCTGTGTTCTTCTGACTTCCAGAAACACAGGCGATAGACTGTATTTGCTCATGACTGGGAATTCAGGGTAGGTAGGGGTATGAATTAACAGGTACTGTTCTTGCAGAGGACTTGAGTTTGGTTTCTAGCATCCCACTGGGTTGTTTACAGCCACCTATGACTCCAGCTCCAGGGCCACCTGCGCTTCCACATAGACAGATGTAATTAAAAATAAATCTTACCAAAA